GGAGGTGCCTGTGACATCATGAGTCCAAGGACATCATCCACCTTACATAAGCACCATTATTGAAGCATCCTGCCTGAAGACCTGTTGTGAAACACACACATAGAAAAAAAACTGCAAAAAATGTCATTATTTCAAACATTTAATATGCCAGCAGCTAGTTCACCCTGGAAGTCCCAGCCAGCAGCCCACTGGAGCTCAGCAGGTGTGAGCCTGGTCAGTACCTGGAAAAGCTGGGAAAGCTGAGGCTGCTGCTGGAAGAGGTGTTAGTGTGACCAGTAGGGGGCGCTCACCCTGCGATCTGTGTGGGTTCTAATGCCCCAGTGTAGTGATGGGGACAAAGGTGGAAAAACCGGCACCGTCCTTTGGATGAGATGGAAAACCAAAGTTCTGACTCATTCTGGTCCTTAAAAATCCCAGGGCGTCTCTTGAGAAGAGTAGGGGTGTTAGCCTGGTGTCCTGACCAAATTCCCCCCTGGCTCTATCCATCATGGCCTCCTAATAACCCCCCTCTCTGAACTGGCTTCATCACTCTGCTCTCCTCCCCACTGAGAGCTGGTGTGTGGGGAGAGGACTGGAGCATCATCCAGGTGGGGCTGCGGACTGGTGGTGGTGGAGGGGGATCCCCATGACCTGTACAGCGCTTTGAGTGCACTATACAGAAAGGCGCGTTAAAAGAGTAAGGAAATTATTATTATTAAATAAGAAATTATTTCGGATGCCGGAGCAGCTCTCAGATCAGAACAGCACAAGAGCCGTGTGAGTGATCAGAGCCCAGTGGCCTGTAACCGTAAACCCTGTTTGTCTCTCATTTAAACACTCAAACTCCACTAATTCCTCCACTAGATCGCACTGTGAGCTCCTCATTCTTCCCACTGGCAGAGTGCACAGGTCAGACTGAGCACTAAAGTGTTGGCGACCAGCTCTGGGCCTTTCAGCACGGAGGTTTAACACACGTATTTACGAACATTTAAAACTACTATTTAATTTTCACCAGTTGTAGAATGAAGACGGCTGACGATATTTTTTTCAAACAGAACAGATGTATTGCACACACTACATTAACAAGTGCATTGCTGCAGAATTATAGGAAATAATCATAAAGATTCTACCAGGTACAGTTAATAGGGTCTGCTACAATGGAACTAAATGACAAGAAATAAAACTTCATTTTGAAAGGAAAGCACGTGGCTGGAAAAACGATCATGGAAAATGCAGAACACCAGGGATGTTGTGCACCTGCAGCAGAACTGGAAGGAAAATCTGATGACGTGTTCGGAGGTGGATTAAATACCTCCGCCTGTGATCCAGTAAAGAAAGGGTTGAACAGGACAAGGAAAGACGAGGATATAAAGAACAGACTGTTATAGAAATATGGCAATGGAATGTGATTTGTACTGGAATCTACAGACTAGGATCGTTCCAACAGGGATTTAACTCCAGCTGAGCTCCTGGGCATTTCGTTGGAATCCCTGACTAAGCCCACATTTTAATTAATCATCTTAAATGCAATTATGTTTTAATTAGTTTAAAACGTAGCTGGAAATGGTACCTTTCATAACAAGTTTGGATTTACTAAAAGGTGTCTCAACAAACACTGGAATGTCATCCTGATCCCAGAAATACAGTATCATCCATTCGTTCCACCTCCTTCTGGGTGCAATATACACTGCTGGGCGGCAGTCCAAGCCAACCACAAGTGATTATAAGCATCAACCACTTACTAGCGCATTTCTAATTGATTATAACAATTCCTATTTATACACCTTTGCTTGGCTCAGAAGGAACCAGGCTTGGCATTTAGCAATGTCTAATTCCCTGTGATCAGTCTTTAAAAACAGGATCAAAGACCTTTGATCAAAAACCCAATCATGGCCAACTGTATAAGAGCAGCCGAAGCGAAACATAGCAGGTAATCAATCAGATTCGTCCTCATCATCACTAACATTTGTCCAACTCGACTGGCCTATAAAGCTCAGAGGTTACTTTTGTACTACAGAACTCAGATCTGCGAGGATTGACTATTAACTCAAACCTAAATGGCTTTATTTCCTGCAGATTGCTAAAGAATTGTGTTTGTGTATAAAGATGGAAATAACAAAGTGAAAATAGCAGAATAATGCAGAACATCTGAGATTTGGCAGATCTGTGTATGGTGATCTACATGCATTAAAGGGTTTTACGGTGTGATTTGCTTTGCTCACAGAAGTGTTAAGCGTGTTATCGATGCGATGATGATGTGATTGAGAGCTCAGCTGGAAGGATAAAAACCCGGGGAGACGGAGAGGCTCCTGGGTGGAGAAGCCCTTGTGGAGATCCACGTCTCCGGCTGACGTCAGCGAGGCACGGAGGAGGATGGGAATGCTGGCGTTCGGGGCAGCGAGCGGCGAGCAGCCTCACAGCCAGATGTCCGAGCTGCAGTCACCTCCCGGGTAGCGGACCTCGTGGGCCAGAACCGGGCCGTCCGGCTCCCGGCCAAAGTCGACCAGGAAGTTCTCGTTCAGCGTGAGGCCGCCCTTGACCGTGTCCACGTCCACCTGCAGCATGACCGACCCCTCCCTGGACAAGGAAGACCGGGATCTCGACTGAGCTAAAGATTACTGACGGAAGGGCAAAGGCTACAGGTCAGTCACTGCCATAGAGGGGGAGGGAGCACCACTGTGGTGGCGATAGGCACGCCAGGTATCTCTCGGTGTTTGGCGACGCGCCGGCTCCTGTGGCCTGCCGTGAGCGAGAGAGTCACGCCACTCCTCCGATCAGCGCAGACGCTCTCGGAGCTGGCGGCGCTGAAGAGGAGCACGTCTGCGGGCGTGCCCGCGCGACGCACGCCGCTCTCCCAAGACCCAGTCGGGCTCCGAGCACGCACAGGGCCACGCTGCGGACAGCATGGACAACATGATCCATCTGCATGGGCAGAGTCTCGCACTGGCTGGATCTCCGGGGGGGGAAAGTTTGGGCGACTCTTCCGTAACTCGCTTAGCCTAGGAGCCCTGTGACACCGGTACAGGTGTCAGGCCTCAGACAGCGCTAGAGAAGAGTAGGGGGGCGTGGCCAGGCGACAGCGCCCTGCGGACAGGGGGGCCTTACTTGACCATGCTGGGGTAGAACTGCTTGTCCCAGCCGCTGTACAGCGAGGTGGTCACGTACAGCCTCCTCCCGTCCAGGCTCAGCTGGATCATCTGCGGCCCGCCCTGGACCTGCTTGCCCTGCGCCGGAGCAAACACACAAGACAGCCGCCGTGAGGCTTCGAGGGACAGCAAGAAACAAAAACAGCGAGAGGAGGCCTTTCGTCCCACCCAGCCCGCTGGGCAGCCAGTAGTGTACATCTCATCCCGCTGGTGCTTGAAAGAAACCTGGGTATCGGCTTCAACTACACTGCTGGCCAGCTTGTTCCACTCTCCCACCAGCCTTTGCGTAAAGAAAAGCGCTTCTCGTTAGTACAGCGCTTCCAGTTCTGCTCCAGGCGGCCCTAGTATCCTCCGGTTTTCAGATGCTCAACTGGGAGTTCATTAAGCTAAGCATTCTGATGAGTTAAGTCTTTTGAATTTTTTCATCCTTTCAATTGGCTCGTGAGTTGGTATCGGATCTAAAAATCTCGTCCACCCTAGAAATGCAAACAAAAAAGCCTAATTCGTTGTTACACGCTCCTGTGGGTGCTGTAGGCAGCCTTGAATGGTCAACAAGCAAATTTCTGTTCTGCAGAATACCTGCTCCCTCTGATGAAGCAGCTGAGCCCAGGCTCAGCTGCAAAGCTTGGCTGAAATGAAAGCTATCAAGCTTTTCAAGCATTTCATGGTACAGCAATTCAAACCGCAGTTCCTACCTTGACCACACGAGGGGGCGGCTGTTTTTCCAGCTCTTTGTCCTCCAGTACTCTAACAGGTCCATCACCCACGATGCTGCCCCCCAGAAACACCTGCGACACACACAGACATGGCACACACAGAGCCGGGCCAGGCGCCCAGGACTGCGCGAGCACGTCCTGTTCCCAATGAACTCCACTGACAGGGGTTGACAGGGTGGAGCTCTGTGGTCCAGACACATCACCACCCTGCCAGGATCTCTCATGTAGCTGATGGAGCCCTACCAGGGCTGAGTGGCCCTTAGATGATCAGGGGCCCTTGAGCTCAGGGCTGTCCAGTCCTGGTCCTGGAGTGTCGGTCAGTATGTCTGCAGGAGTGTCCAGTCCTGGTACTGGAGGGTCGGTCAGTGTGTCTGCAGGAGTGTCCAGTCCTGTTCCTGGAGAGCTGGTCAGTGTGTCTGCAGGACTGTCCAGTCCTGGTCCTGGAGGGTCGGTCAGTATGTCTGCAGGAGTGTCCAGTCCTGGTACTGGAGGGATGGTCAGTGTGTCTGCAGGACTGTCCAGTCCTATTCCTGGAGGGCTAGTCAGTGTGTCTGCAGGGGTGTACAGTCCTGTTCCTGGAGAGCTGGTCAGTGTGTCTGCAGGACTGTCCAGTCCTGGTCCTGGAGAGCTGGTCAGTGTGTTTGCAGGACTGTCCAGTCCTGGTCCTGGATGGCTAGTCAGTATGTCCAGTCCTGGTCCTGAAGGGTCGGTCATGTCCAGTCCTGGTCCTGGAGAGCTGGTCAGTGTGTCTGCAGGATCACCTCCCATCATAGAATTTGAGCTCAGTGGGATCATCCCTTCAGCAGCTGAGCCACAATTACAGAAAGAGGATTTTCACTTTGCAAAGCCCGGTGTGAGACACACTGAAACGTGGCTCTTCTGTAAAGGCTAAAACATGTTTTGGAAATACAGATATTGCCACAATATTAGGACCCACAACCCACTTCACCCTAATTAGTAGATTCAGTGGCAGGCAATGCAGGGCTGTCTTGAGGAACACAATACATCACAGCAAAAGCCTGATTTTTTCACACACCATCATCTTCAACTGAAAAACATTCATGCAAGAATTGGGGTGTCCAGTAGAAATTATTGGTCACCAGTTCCTAAAGATTGGGGACCCCCTTAATTATTTAATTGAACCTGTTCAGTTCATAGCACACTGTTTCTTTAAGGGATGAATGATCCTCAGATTTCAGTGCCAAATAGATCTCAACTTGCTTAACGAATTGGTTGCTTAATTGATCACAAAGACGGTGTGTGTTCCAAGTCTTTAGAAATCTGTGATTCACTGGTGACCTGCCAGTCTGAGGCTCTCACTGTGCTGAGAGAGTGGGATGAGAACAGGCTTCCAGTACCTGAAAACCCTGGGTGCCGCAGGTCCGAGCCTTGCTCAGGCTGCTGCCTGTTACATCAAGCAGTGAAACCCAACAGAAAAGGCGAGATCTCTGATTGAAAGCTAAAAGGCCTGCAGGGGAAATTCAGAGGCGTTACCTGGCCCACGAGCCTGGGCTCCCTGGGGTTGGTGATGTCGTACTGGCGGATGTCCCCATGCAGCCAGTTACTGAAGTACAGGAAGCGGTCATCCAGGGAGATCAGGATGTCGGTGATGAGTCCTGGGTGGGACAGACACAGCCAATGATGCTCAGCCCCCTCAATCCACACAGCCCCCCCCCACAGTCAGGCCTGCACCCAGAACTGTACTCCACCACCTCGGCTGCCACCTTCCTCCAGGCCACCATGGGGACCATTCTGGGCCATTCAGGGCCATCTGAGCCTGCAGATCCACATTCCCTAGGCTCTCCCGAGAAGCCCATTATTTCCACATTCCTATTTGCTGGGGATCCTTGCACCTGTCTTTTCCCAGACATCCCTATCATTCGGGCTCACCTGGCATCTCTGGTAGAATCCATCCTTCCACCTTCTTATTGGGGACTTTGATGACCTTCTCTGCTGCCCAGTCTCCCTTCTGCAGAAATGGGACAGCACAGTCAGATTCCAGGGGTCAGGGGTCAAGTGCTAAGGATCACGCACTGGGTAGTTGCAGGCTTGCTCTCTGGAAGGTTGCCCAATTTTGATCCTACTGGGCACCACAATTGCCAGATTCACCCTCTTGCTAAAGATCACTTGAATCCTTGAAAGAAAATGTACAACCCATCAGAATGGGAAATCCAGGCTGTGAGCATCTTTACACAACATCATTCTCCAGACGCGGACTCTTGTCTGATGTGAGAGTGAAAATCTTCCCCACTGGCTGTATGAGGCCGAGCCGCTCCCAGCTGCAGTAAGGCGAGCTGGGGAGACGAGGAAGCACCGGCACCCCTGTTGTGAGTCTCTGGAGCCCGCATTAATCTAGTCCTAGTCTTGGGCATCACGATCTTAGTCAAGTCGACTGAAACGTCTAGGAAGCGCAGGGAGTCGTCGCCACAAGCAGCGACCTCGCCCCCGTGGAGGAGGAAGAGGAAGGGCGCTCTCATCAGGATCAAGGGAGCGGGCACGCGGGGCTCATTACGAGCAGCTCCTTTCTCAAACGCGTCCCGCTGAGCACCTTCCTACCTCGTCCTCAGCCTGTCTGGCCACGCCCCCCCCCCCCAGGACCTCCAGCCGATTGCCGATCGAGCAGATTGCAGCCGTGCCGGCCAGAGGGGGCTCCCGGCCCACCGGTTCTGCCGCCGCCGACCCCACGGACCTGCGTCTTGTAGAAGCGGAAGACGGCGGCGTGGAGGGCGCAGCCCACGAAGCCCTGCGGCGCGGCCGGGTCGTGCAGGAAGCGGACCTCCAGCGGGATGGCGCCCTCCTCCCCCAGGTCCAGGGACTGCACCCTCCTGTGCGTCGTCCAGTCCCACACGTTGAGCCGCCGCCCATAAAGCCCTGCGGGCAGGCAGAGCGCCACCGCGTGGTTAGGCAAGGGAACTGCGGATCACCACACCTCCTTCTGAAGCGCAGATGAGAAGTTAATGGAGAAATACTGGGACCCCTGAGCTTCCTCACGGCTGCACCCAGGCTGACTGGCACTCAGCAGCCACAGCGCCCCCTGTCTGCTGTTCGTTTTGACTACACACTAAGTGCCCTGTAGAGGCACAGATCAGCACCGTACCTGCCTTTGTGATGTCCAGTTACCCCTCTTTCCGGACTTGTACTGTAAGAGCTCCGTGTCTATTTACAGTATTTTCTTTGTGGAATTGTCAGTTGTGTTTATTCCACTGAGTGTATAAGCAAATATTACTGTCATCATTATCCCTAATAAGAGCAATGTGGCAGAGCTGATGTCAAGCGCAAGCAGCGCCCCCTGTCATCCGCTCAGAGCAGAGCATCACTAGCCCCACGGGTCCGGCCTGGGTCCAACACAGGACCACAACTGCCCAGCAGAGGTCGCTGTTATATAGACGATAAACAGGTATTGAATGGAAACGGAGCTAAATCCCACTACAGGTCTGTCTGTTCTATCACTTTCTGCAATTCATTTCTTTTAATGCTTAAGATATGGAGTGAGTGAGTGACACCATGTTCTTATTGTTCTTCTCTTATAAATAAAAAAGTAGATCACCTTATGATCTTAAAATAATAATGAATGAATCTTTACACTTATATAGCGCTTTCCTGGACACTCCCCTCAAAGCGCTTTACAGGTCATGGGGATCCCCTCCACCACCACCAGTGTGTATCCCCCACCTGGATGATGCACCAGTCCGCTCCCCACACACCAGCTCTCAGTGGGGAGGAGAGCAGAGTGATGAGGCCAGTTCAGAGAGGGGGGTTATTAGGAGGCCATGACTGGTAAAGGCCAGGGGAAACTTTTGGCCAAGACATCGGGGTAACACCCCTACTCTTTTCAAGAAACGCCCCGGGATTGATAATGACCACAGAGAGTCAGGACCTCAGTTTTACATCTCATCTGAAGGACAGCGCCTTTTTACAGTACAGTGTCCCCATCACTATACTGGGGCATTAGGACCCACACAGACCACAGGGTGAGCGCCCCCTGCTGGTCACACTAACACCTCTTCCAGCAGCAACCTTAGTTTTTCCCAGGCGTCTCCCATCTAGATACTGGCCAGACTCACAGCCTGCCAGCCCCCACTGCTTGGCTCACAGCTGGATAATGTCACACAGTCTGGACTATAGCCCCACCCTGCTCTCTAAAGCAGGGCATTCCCTGTCTGAGCCCATGGGAGCCGCTATGTGACAATGCTTATTTACGTGCTTGGAAGCACCTTCTCTCTCAGTCCCCTCCATTCAAGACCGAAGAGACTCAGTCCCTTCTGAATGTGACCCTTTCAGACACGCTCAGTGTGTGGCTGCCAGTCAGCCATGTGGACCGCCTTTGATCCGACTCCTGAGAAGCCCTGGACTTTTCCCCCTGTCCCTGAGGGATCTGCCACCGCCCCCCATCGAGATCCCATCCTACCCGCTTTGACGTCTTCGGGGTTGAAGCCATTGGCCAGGGCCTTGGGGGCGCCCCACTCCGTGCTGATCAAGACGTTGTGCCGCGGCTGGTACCAAAAATCGTAGCCGAAGGGGGCGGCGTCTCCCGGCTGCTCCCAGTTCCCAATCACCTCGAAGGTCTCCCCGTCCAGCAGCACGAACCCTCCTGCAGCACAGAGAGGACACACAGAGCAAGGCAGCTGGTTGCAATGAGACTGCGAGACGGAGGATCACCTCTCCCGCCTGCCCTGAGCAGCTCTGTTCCTGTGTGAGCATCTGAGTAAGGCCCTGCTTGGCCCACAAGGGCATATGAGCATCTGAATAAGGCCCTGCTTGGCACACAAGGGCATATGAGCGTCTGAATAAGGCCCTGCTTG